AAAGAGTGTGCACTTGACTACTGTTTTAATTCTTTTAAAATTTATATTGTGATGACTTAAAAGTGCTTTAAAGCAGCAACCACTTAATGTTTCTGTAGCCCAGAGCATGTGTGAGGAGAGGCAGACCACATTGTGTAGCCGCACTGTGCCAAGGGGCTGTTTTCATTAAAGCGGGTTAATGAGATTAAGATTGGGTTCTCAGATGGGTAAGTTAATTTTCTGTTTACCCCTTTCAGAAGGATTCTCCCTGCCATTTTAAAATTTTAGTCTTGAGGCTCTTGAACAGCTCATTTAAAATGCCTTCTTAGTATATGCTAATTTAAAATAAAAGCATTAGTGAAGTTGGCTAAATGAATTCACAAATCTAAAATGGACTATATTTTCTCTGCTTGAATGTTTTTTGGAAATACTTGGAGTCCTTATTCTCCCTTTCCTCCATTGTTTTGAAAGTTATAAAAATAATGGTTAGAAAAATCAAAGACATCAGTTTAATTACATATGTCTTTGTTTTTGGGTTAGTCATTTCAATTTATTCAGGTCCGTTTATTAGGTACAGAAGCATATTTAGTTATTTGGAAATCAGCCAGTCTGAATTATTGATTTTCCTTTTTCTTTTTTTTTTCCTTTTTTTCTTTTTTTTTGGTGATCGAAAATATTTTAAATGTAATTAAGAACTTACAATCATTTTTCCTTAAACTTTTAGGCTAGTGATACAGAACGAGATGGACTAGCCCCAGAAAAGACATCCCCAGATAGAGATAAAAAAAAAGAGCAGTCAGATGTATCTGTTTCTCCTAGAACCTCAAAACATCATTATTCAAGATCACGATCAAGGTCAAGAGAGAGAAAACGAAAGTCAGGTATGAATTGTTGGGAATGGTAATAAACTCCACTGGCATTTATTACAATTCCTGTAAATGTGTCTAAGACATGAATTTAGTTTATTGATATAGTTAACGTGTTCTCCCTAGTTTAGAAATGGATAATGAAAGTCCATTAGTATTTTCTGGAAACGTTTTCAGTTATGAGAAATACAAATATTTGAATGCAGAAATTTTATAATTTGTCTAGAGGCAACTATGTATTTAAGTTTGTGTCACAGTAACTGTGAACTCTGATGTTTAAATTTCATTCTTTCTGCATTGGTAAAGAAATATCTTTAAAGATGTGGTCTAGACAGTAATATTCTGAACTTATTTAACGTCTTGTGATGTAAGTTGCAAGAGGTTTGGCATTTTAAAATGTTCCATATTCACTTACTAAAAAAGTTAGGCTGATGTAGTATAGAAAGTATGATGTTTTGCTATTTAAAAAAAAAAAAGTACTACTATTTAATGAAGGAGGTAAATGAGAAGTAAAAATTAATGAGTTTAAAAGTTTTAAGGCCTGAGCTCTATTTATTCTTTGTGTCCACAGATAATCACCTACAAAATGGCTCAAATGTTATTTTTATCTATGTATCAGAACCTACAGTATTATAACTAAGTTTTGAATGGAAATTTTTCTAAACTGTAACATCCTTTTGACTACTTATATACCAAATATAATTCAACTTGTTTATTTTCTTTTGCATTGTTATTCTTGTTTGCCTCTCTAAGAAGCCACTTTATAAATTTGCTATGGACTAGGAAATAAGATGGGCTAATTAAAATGTTTTGTAAAATATTGTCTTCAGTTGCCTAAAAGACAATGTCTCTTTTGAACTTGGGCACTTTTTTGCTTGCTTCTGTCTCTTGATTATACTCTGGTTTGTTCAGATTGCTTGATTTGTTTCAATATGTTCAGTTAATATTACTAACAATAGAGTATTATTAATAGAGTAACTTTTCTAGTTTGCCATTACATGGCAATTAGTAGAATAATCCTATCCTGCCATAAAAAAAGTAGTTTTTGGAAGATGACTAGTAAGTAGAATCTTAAGTTAGCCAAATGGACTGGAAATTATTCTTTATATGAGTATTAAAATTTGTGTTTGAGACGTTTCTGTATTTTTGTTTATGGTGAATTTTTATGTGTGTTTACAGATAATGAAGGAAGAAAACACAGGAGCCGGAGCAGAAGCAAAGAGGTAATTAACACTTTGTAGTGAATAGGCACTTTAAAATACTTGTAAAATAACTGGTAGAAATGTTTGTGTGAATATGTGATATTGTCAAGGTAAGTACCCAAACTTGAAATTTAAAAGGTTAATTGGGTTATAAAATAAGCATGATTTGGATTCATCATTTTTTCAAGAAGATAGTTGTTTATATGAAAAGTTCATTCAAAAACTTAATTTTATTATGTTGTGAAAATATTCACGATAAAAATTTCATATGAAGAATATAATTGGTTTTTTTAGGTCTGTTACACAGAGCTTCCATTAATCTGAGGTCCCGAGTCTCCTTATGCCTGATGACCACTCAGGATTTCTAAATAGCAACACCCTAGATATCTGTGGGCTACTTTTGCTTTATGGAAGACAACAAAAATCCTCTTTTCGTTAGTGAACTAGTTCTGTTTTCCCTAATAGTGGCATGGAATTTTGAAATAAGTGTTAGTGAGGGACAGCTGGAAAGGTGATGGTGACAGCAAAACTTGAGGAAAAAGAAAGGCAGCAGCTGTATTGCAGAAGAATTAACTTGCTCACCCACCTGAGGAGACAAGAAATGAGCCAGCAAGGGAGAGAAGTAGCCACAGCCAAAAAGGGAGAAAAAGCCTTGTGGGGGCTGGGCAAGGGATCCTGAAACAAATGTGGGCAGGGACTTCACCTCTTCCCCTAATGGAAGCTCTGTTAAATTTTTAATTTAGGAGAGTTTTTGTGAAAATGACTATTTTGTTTAGCTCACATGATAACATTTCTATAATAAATCATACTCAGCGTGCTAATGCGCGAAGAGACTGAACTGAAGACGCTGCAGACTCAGATAGCAAAATAATAAGCCTACTTCATGATAAGGTAACTATTAGTCATTCGAACTCCTATTTCCCTTAAGTATATCTTAAATCAGTTAAGGGTTTTAATGTTTTCTTTTTTTTTTTTTTTTTATTAATGTTACATTTGGAAAACTGCTTTTGAAATTAATTCTAAAACTATAGAAGTTTAACCACTTAAAGCTTTTCCAGTTTGCTATTTGGCAAAATCTGAGAAGTATTTTTTTTTAGAAGCTCATATTACAGAGAACTGGCAATGAACCTAAAATTTAGCTCTGTCTCCAGGTCTCTTATTTTTCTGCAGAATAATAATTGACATAGTATAATCATTTTCAGATATATCATCATGCATGTTCTAAAGTGTTTGGCCAAGTTTTTTTGTTTTTAAGAAAAGTTAATCTTGAATGGAAAGAAATACGCTATGGCCTATTTTGGGAAACATGAGATAAGTGTCCATTTGTGAAAAGCAGTGTGGCCTGAGCATCAGAAGAACATGGGGTCTGAGTTCAGCTCCGCTACTGTGTAACTATGTGAGTTTAGATCTTAGTGACACATAAGAGGATCTGAGTTTGCTTCTAGCTTTTAAAACTGTGACTCTGAGATGTCCAGGATTTTAAGTTTTACTACAAGATGGATTTGACAAATGTTAACGTGGGAAAATCTTATGTTTAGTACTTTCTAATTAGATATGTGAGTGTAGGTTAGAGACTTGATCATATAATTTTAGCTCAGTCTCTGAATGCCTATGCTGTGAAAATGAAAGCCTTGGTTTTTAATCTTTCAGAGTATGGGAGAAGTATGTGTTGCGTAATGCTTTAGGGATTAATTATGTTATACCCAGTTTGATTTCATAAAAATTAAAACAGATACGGTTGCCATTTTCTATCCTAGGTACATGAAATGTAATAGAGCTCCAAGCCTGTTGGGATATTGCAAGATGAAAAGTGATTGCCTCACAGTTTAGACATTGGGAGGAAAATCAAGAGACGTCTATTAGAGAGGATGTGACAGTATAGATATAAAAAGGACACTTCATCTCTGCGTAAAGTAATTTGAAATGCAGAAAATTTAGTAAAATTTTTTACTTAGCTACCTAATTTGAAAAACATTTTCTGGTGCATTTATTTGTGTCCTTAGTTATTTTCATTATTCTTAACTAAAATTCAAATAATATGTATTCGCATTAGATGTATATACTTATTCTGTTCATCTAAAAGGTTTGTTGGAAATTTTTTAAAGTTTTGATACTTGTGTACTTCCCTTATTTTAGATAAAAGAAACATTGGGGGTTTCTGTTTTTCTGACATAATGGTTTTTAAATATTTCAACATTGAAAATTGTTTTAATTGTGGTATTGAAAATATTTTGGGGAAGAAATTATATTTTTGGGGTCTTAAAAAAGTAAAATTAGTACTATACATCTGCAACATGTGGGTGATGTGAAACTAGACCTGTTTTTTAATTTGCCACACACTCCTAAGGTTACTAATGTTGCATCACAACATTTTTGTCTGCTGATACCCATACTAACTCTCTTTGTTGCACTATTTTCCTGAAAGAACCAACTTCTTCTTAAAACAGGCAAGAAGACATGAATCCAAAGATAAATCCTCTAAGAAACACAAGTCTGAGGAACATAATGACAAAGAACATTCTTCTGATAAAGGAAGAGAACGACTGAATTCATCTGAAAATGGTGAGGACAGACACAAGCGCAAAGAAAGAAAGTCGTCAAGAGGCAGAAGTCACTCGAGATCTAGGTCTCGTGAAAGGTAAGTAGTTACTGTGTCTATAAGTTCATGCCTTCTGAAAGAGCTCCTAAGTGACAAAGCTGCTCATTAACCCAGCAATACTCTCAAAAGTCTTAATTAGAACATTGATTTTTTTTTTCTAGCTTGACCTATTTGCTCACTAATAATGCCTGCTAATAGCTAAAGTCTTGTGCTTTAGTTTCTGATAAAGGCAAAAATACAGTGTCTAAGATTAGGGGTAAGGGATGGTATGTTTAACATAATTACTTAGCAACTGTATATTTCAACTTTTTGATTTATCTTTTGCAGTGAAAAAAAAAAATTGCTGAACTATATGTAATTTAAGCCAACATAACAAATCCTTTTACATTGCTGATGTAGAATTTGTTTACTGCTAAATTCTAACCTAGGTTTTCTCCTGTGGTATAGATGAAAAGATTTTGGGGAAACTGGGTCATGACTCACAGTTGTGGGATTTTTTTTTATTTATTTTTTTTAAGAAGCCGGTATTTAACATATATTTGGAGATATCTGAGAATATGTGGCATCAACTTTTATCAAAATTTTTCAAGAGTAGATTAACTTGATTAAGTCTATAATCCTTAAGTTTTATACATACTTTACTAAGGCAGCAGACTTTATTAGTCTTAAATTGGGTAGGATGCATTACATTTTTGACATGTTAGAGCATTACTGTGTTCCCTAAGCATTGTCATCAAACAAGAGCAAGGTTAATTTTTTGTTAGAATTGCTGCCATTAAAAACTCAAATTATCCTTTCTATATACAGTACAAAGTAGTTTATTGCCTGTCTTGACTGCATAAACTACAGATAAATAATTCATAATATCTGTAATTGAAAAGACAACTCTAACTACAAACTTATGTACTTGAATTTCAGGCGGCATCGTAGTAGAAGCAGGGAGCGGAAGAAGTCTCGATCTCGGAGTAGGGAGCGGAAGAAGTCAAGATCCAGAAGCAGAGAGAGAAAGAAATCACGATCCCGAAGCAGGGAAAGAAAACGTCGGATCCGATCTCGTTCCCGCTCCAGATCAAGACACAGGCATAGAAGTAGAAGCAGGAGCAGGACAAGGAGTAGAAGTCGGTATGTATTCATCATCTTGATTAAAATTAAATAGACCCCTCACAGGATCTGTTTGTCATCTCTCACTTTGAGAGTATTTGTGGATCAGAATTTTAGATACAGATTTTAAAATACTTTAATTTCATCCCGGAAAGAACAAACCTAAATACTTCTATAACATTCTTACATAGTCTCATTTGATCAGATCACCTGTGAAGGGCAGGTGTGAAAATCTTCATTAAAATTCGGTTTTGAACACTGAATTCATTGTATTTCTTTTATAATTATGATAGCTTAAGTTTATTGCATCCCTATCTTGTGCATATATATTATGACAAAGCTCTTTCCATGTATTAGTCATCTGATTCTTTGGCCTACCATATTGTGAGGTAGGCCTGTCGGACTTTGAGAGGTTGAGTAACTTGCCCAGGAAGTCCAGAATCATACCATAATAAACGATAAAACCCGGATTGGGTCCAAAATGTGTCTGAATGCAAAGTCAGTGTTTGTGCTAACCTATCATACTGTATATACTATCTAAGATACTAAAAAAGTTGAGCTTAAATGATATAGAATTGTGCACCTGAAACATATATAATGTTAACCAACGTAACCCCAATAAATTTAATTTTTAAAAAAGATGTGCTTAATTCAAACCTGTCTTAATTGGGAAGAGGCTTTAATTTGTTGAGATATGAAATATTTCATAAAATGAGCATAAAAAATTTTGAATTCATAATATTCAGGAAATATGTTTTGATTTACATAAGATAACTGCATTATATCTATAGTCACAGATAACTGACTAAAGTAATTGAAAAGCTTTTTTATTAATTTATTGCTTAAGTCAGTCTATAAAAGACGAAGATATGGATAAAACTAGACAGGCTTGTCATAGTAACTTGGTTTATCACTTTGATTAGTTTCAGTTTTTAATCAGTCATTGTAGTTTGTAATAGTTTACTAATTTGAACTTGAGATTTAGTGAATCTAAAGTACATGGTAATTTGATCATTTTTTAATTGCCATTTGGGCAATTCGGATCATTATGGCATTTCTAGTTTTGACTATAGATATTTTTTATTTTGATCAATGCCTGTTTATCTTTTACTTTTCTAATTTCTTTTTTAGTGATTCATGCTTTGTATTTTTGACAACGTATATACATTCATTGTAGAGTAAAACAACTAGGAATATTTAAGCTAACCATCCCACTACTAGAAGTTTATTCTGCATATCAACCTACAGAAGTATAAAATGACTAATGTACAAGACTAGTGAAATTTTGGAAACAACCTAAATGTCCATCAGTAACAGGGATGGTTAAATAAACACAGAAAAATAGCCATGTACATAAGGAACTTGGGCTGTCTATAGAAGTTATAGGACAGGTGAAAAGGAAAGGGTTCAAAATATATTTCCTGTACAGTTTGATTTTTGTTGAACCATGTAAATATAATTGGTTTTGATTCAATGACATATTATTTGGCCATCTTAAGACATGTAAAACATGATTTATTACAGAGATAGAAAAAAGAGAATTGAAAAACCAAGAAGATTTAGCAGAAGTTTAAGCCGAACTCCTAGTCCACCTCCTTTCAGAGGCAGAAACACAGCAATGGATGCACAAGAAGCTTTAGCTAGGAGGTATGAGTATTTTTTTATTTGGTGCATTTTTTTTCCCTTTTCATCTTGAAGTAGATAATTAATTGTGTGGAGAAAGTGAATGCTTTCTGTCAGAGGATAATTCAACTAATTAAATCTAGCCATGAGTACTGTGGCACCTTTGTGATCTAGAACCAAGTAAGTGGTTAATTCTCGTCATAAACATTTACTTATTGCACAACTGGAAAGATTGCGATGTCTGCATTAGTTCCTCTTTTTTCCTTCATGATTATTTTTTATTTTTCTCAATTCCAGACTCTTAAATATTCTTAATTTGCAATTGAAATTTTTAAAAATTTTAAGTCTGATTTAAGAACTTCATTAATTTTGCCTCTAAAACTGCTTTGTCTTCATTTCTTCCTCAAGAAAAAGTCTCTGAAACAATAAGTAGAATCCTGTCAATGGTTTTCTTATTTTGGAGGTGACAAATAATAAACATTATAAGCTAATTATTTGGTTGTATAAATTTACTGCCAATAGCATAGAGAGATAGTTGTATTTTTTAATTTTCTAACGTTTCAAAGATGGTTGAGTGTGGGACTACACACAGTATCTGACCGACATCTACAAAACCACTGAAAGAACTGCCTCACCTAGCAAGGCAAGAAGTAAAGTAAAATCCAAGTTCTTGTTTTCAGGTTTTCCCATATTCTGAAAACTACTCTTTTGATTTTGATTTTTTTTCTTTATGAAATTGAGTTTGTATTTTTTTTTTCATTACAAAAATACAGTTATCACAATGTAACCTGATGGGCTGCTGCCCGGTGAACCCAGCCTGGCAGAAACTCCAGCTGAACAGCAGCAGCAGCAAAGGTGTGAGCTCACCCCTTCTTCACTCCATTCACCTTAGTGGTGACAATTCCAGACCTGCAGCGGCCATTTTAATGTGCAACCTGTAGTAGTCAAGCATATTTTCTTTCTGAATCTAAACAGAATTAGGAAATAATTTATCACAATATTTGAACTGATTTATCAAAAATGGTCCATTAACTCTGACAGGTTTTTTTTTTAAGCCTTATAGTTCATTATTTACTACAAGTTTATTGTGTTTTAATTTTTGGCTTTTGTTAAAGTTGAAACTAGTATATAAAACTTTTTTACTTAACCACCCTACTTAGTGATTTTCAGATCACAAGTGTACATGAAATATTTTGTGGATTTCAGAATATCAGATTACTCTTTGGCTACCTTGAAATTTGAAGGGAGGTGTTTTAATAAACTGCAGTGTATAGGCCGTTTTTTGTTTTTAAATAAGGACAATTTTAAAATTGCTTTGGAAGTGTAGTATCTGTGAACCTATATCTTAATGTTATCCCTAATGAGAGAATTTTACTCCCAGGGACAAAATTCAAGTCCATACTCTGTCTTTTTTTTTTGCATGTGTGATTAGTAAAATGGAACAATATGGTTAAAATCCTTTTATATAAATTTCAGCAGTTGTTAAAGCAAGTGCCAGTTTACTTCCACTGCATTGTGCTACCTGTGGTCCCCAAAACAAAAGAACTTTTCCCCCCGCCCTTCTCCTTTATACCATGTTCAAAGGAGGAAGGAGGTGTTTGACTTATAGTTGCTGGTAAAGCAAAGAATTCTAAGAAAGGGTTTCTTTTTCAGGAACTCATTATGAAGATAACATGACTATGATTTGTTACATAGGAAGTAGATACTGACTTGGCAGCACATTTATTAATATGTGTATTCATTAATGAATTTAGTGTGAACCAGAATTCATTTTTATTTTGTTTTAGGATGAATTTGTGTTTTATGTTTCTAGTTTCTTTGCTAATAATTTTTTTCAACTTAATTTCCTAATATTTGAGTTCTTTCCCACATTTCGTTAGATAATAGAGGATGGCAGTTCAAGTTTTGTGTATCCATTTTCGTTTGTTCTTTTTTAAATATTAATTTGAGGGCTATATAGTAAAGTCTGTTTAAATACAAAAGTCATTATTTTCATGTTTTGATTAGCCTTATTCTGTATCAGCCTCCCCCAAAAAGCATTTGGTAATTATGTAAGCATCACTTACTATTTAATAATACTCTTAAGATTTACCCAGCTCTCAGTATGTCATTTGCAAGATTTTTATTAATTCCGTAACCAGCGCTGGTAAAAATAGAGTCATTTTTATTTTTTAACTATTCTCTATGGCAACTGTATATAAAAACTCCAGTTTTTGGCTATTAGATGAATTTAAAAATGTTTAAAACTGGTATTGAAATATTCTTTATCTGACTGGTACCATCTTAAGAATGATTGTTTTTTTCCATATGCAGATATCAATTTGGGGAAATGTTAATTTAAAATTCTGTATAAAGTATTTTATGTCTACATGTGTACATGCAGAAATTTAAAGATAAATATTGGTTTTGTATTGTGTTATTTTAAATTTATTTAAAATGGTCTTTGGCAGGTTGGAAAGGGCAAAGAAATTACAAGAACAGCGAGAAAAGGAAATGGTTGAAAAACAAAAGCAACAAGAAATAGCTGCAGGTAATTATTTTTCTTTATTATGGCAGTATGGCATTTCTTCATAGAATATTGAAAAGTTCAGAAAATAGGAAGTCAGTCACATACCTAGGATCCCTACTCCCTGTCAGTATGCTGTAACAGCCATTTTGGGTTTTTTTAATTGAAACGTTAACATTTTATTCTTGGTGTTACTCTTCAACATCTTTCTGCATTTATATTTCTGATTTTTCTACACAGGTCATTCTGACAAGTAAATATTGACACTTGTTTGGGTAGCACTTTAGCCATTACTGCACTGCACATGTCTTTTACTGATGATTTTGGAAATGCAATTTATTAAAGATAATAGCCTGAACTGGAATATATGTTATGTCTTATGTATGTTTAAGAAATCAAGTTCTTAGACATAACACAAACATTGCCTGTAGGGGATTGAAGGTGAAGAGAGAGAGCTTACTTTTGAATTGTCTGAAATGTGTAATCTTGAAGGTGCTTTTTTTGTTTTTTGACATTTCTCGTAAATAGTGGTACTTTTAAAAATAATATAAAATTTTACAAACTGCCATTTTGTACCAAAACTCGTAACTGGAATTATGGGAATGATGTTAGTAATTTAAGAACTTTTTAAGCTGATGTTTTGGACTGACAGAAAAATAGGTAATTAGAAGCCTTTATTTTTGTAGAAGATTGACTCAGCCATTTCAAATGAAAATATCTGTTAAATGTACATAATGCACGTTTAATATTTTTAAATGTTGGTTATGAATTTCAAATGAAATGCCTGACATCATTTCATAAACCATAAAAAAACTGTACAAATGTTTTTATGTGTTAGTTTAGCTGTAAAGCACCATGGTTCGTTTCCATTGAAACCTTATACCTTTTTACTATTTGTAGAATTTTCTTCATTTTTTAAGTAAATGAAGTTTTAGTACATATAAGGGACCATAGGTAGAAATATGTCTCATTGAAGAATACATTCAATAAATGTTGGTAAACTGTTTTGGCTTTATAATCTAATGCTCAGTCATTTTCATATATTTGGGGAAAATACCATGTCTTTTTACAAAATAGTAGCTCTTATATATAAATAATGTATCGTAAATCAGGAGGTTGGTTTTAGTCTTAAAATCCGGGTTTATCTCTTTCAGCAGCTGCAGCTACTGGAGGTTCCGTGCTCAATGTCGCTGCCCTGTTAGCATCAGGGACGCAAGTAACTCCTCAGATAGCTATGGCAGCTCAGATGGCAGCTCTACAGGCTAAAGCTTTGGCAGAGACCGGAATAGCCGTACCTAGCTATTATAACCCAGCAGCTGTGAATCCAATGAAATTTGCTGAACAAGAGAAAAAAAGGAAAATGCTTTGGCAAGGCAAGAAAGAAGGGGTAAGTCTTCTTATTCCTCTCTTTTGTCATCTATTCCTAATTAGCAATTACTTAGAAAAACAAGGATTGGAAAAGATTAGTTTGGACTTATTTTCTGAGAACCTGACTGGAATAGTTTACATTGCCACAGTTACTTAATGCTGAAAAAAGGCATGATGTAAGTCAGGCTTTCAAAGAAAACCAGTAATACTACATAAAGGAAAGGAGGCTCCTTAAGCTAAGATTTTTTTGAAAGATGCATTATGAAGTATTTATATTTTAATTTCATTACTTTGTAACAAAACTTTATACCGTTATAAACCATTGATAGAATGCTATAAATGCAATTGTTTCTTTGACTTTATATTATATTGTGGAGAAATTTAGTACCCTAGTAAAAGATATTTAAATTTTACATATTCTAAAAGTTCAGTGTTTCTTAACAGGACAAATCCCAGTCTGCTGAAATATGGGAAAAATTGAATTTTGGAAACAAGGACCAAAACGTCAAATTTAGGAAATTAATGGGTATAAAGGTAAGTATATACACTTTGTATTCAAGTTCATACCTATATTTTCAGATTAACGTTGGTTCTCACCTCACAGTTATTTCATTGATGTGTCAGCTCAGTACTTTCTGGTGCTTTTTATGTTCTCCAGATTAATTTCTAATGTATTATCACTAGGTGATAATACAAATTATTATCATATACTTATACTATAAGCAAACATTAAGACAAACTTCTTAGTAAATAAAAATGAAGTTGTGAAAAGGAAATAATGAATTTACTTAAATACTGCTTATTTAAGGTTAACTATATTTGGTGGAATAGGACCTTGACTTAAAGTTTTAAGGAAGCTCTTTTAAAAATGAAGAAAGTTGAGTTTTTGCTGATTAAAGTGTAGTGCAGATACCGTATTAGATTGCATACAACTTAGAAAGGTCCGTGAATGCTCAGCCATCGGTCATTACTAAAGGAATTGGTATTTCATTGAATGGATATTTATTTGGCTTAAACTAAGCTGCACTGAGCTGGCTATTTACGCACTCTGGAATGTTCTACATGTTCTTCGTGCCCACTAAAATGAAGTTGATTTTTGTTAACATCCTACTATATACCTAGAAAGGGCATTGTCGTGTGTACCCCATAGGTGCTGAATGAATGGAAGCTAAATATGTATCCAAAAGTCTGTATCAAATATGTATTCTAAAAATGTGATTTACCGATACTGTCAAGTGAAAGAAGCACTTTTTAGTCGCATCTGAATTCATTTTAATAATATATTTTCTGACATTTAGAGTGAAGATGAAGCTGGATGTAGCTCAGTTGATGAAGAAAGTTATAAGACTTTGAAGCAACAGGAAGAAGTATTTAGAAATCTAGATGCTCAGTACGAAATGGCAAGATCACAAACCCACACACAGAGAGGAATGGGATTGGGTTTCACATCATCAATGCGAGGAATGGATGCAGTTTGAAAAAGATCACACTTAACGTTTGGGACTTTATAGACTTCTGGTTCTGATATCAGGTCCTTGTTCACCAAACAGCTAGCATTCTAGCTTGCATGAGTGTTGCATTGAATTTAATTTATTGAGAAATACGATTTTTTGTAAATATCAGATCAGTGATACTGGTGTTAGTGTTGTAATCAGGTTAAACCCACTTCCATTAAACTTGACAGGACTATAGAAGGACATTATTTTTTAGTTCGTGAATTCTACTTTTCAAATATATAAAAGCTGCAGGTGGGATAAAAATCTCATACATGGATTTTTCGTGTCCACTGTGTTGTGTACTTTTGTACTTAACCTTGTACAGTTATTTTCATCTCTTGAAACATGAAAAAAACGTTATGTAGATGTTCTTTAGAAGATCTGGCCATTTGGTACAAAATCCAGCACAAATAAGCTGGGTGGTGATGATAATAAAAATGGTTTTCTCAAAACTGGTGTTAATTTAAGTTACCTGGAATTCTTATTTGAATTTATGGTTGCTATTAGAAAACACTGGCTAAAAATTCCTTTTAAAAAAAGTTAATTACTATTGGCAATACCATGCTGAGCAAAAATGTAAAAGGAAGATGGGAGGAATAAACGAATTTATTAAAATAGTACTGTTTTCCTATTATAAGGGACAGAATTGGTGTACAGTATTTGTTAAATATTCCATATGTTATTCAGGAAATAGATTAATTCATTAAAGGGATGTAAGCACTTTTATTTTAATAAAGTGCCTTATAACAAAGTTCTTTGTATGCCCTTCGCTCATTATCCCTTTGAAGTCTTCTCTAGCATAAACTAAAGTATTACAAAGTTAGAAAACCACTTTCTCACCAGCATAAATTTGGTGGAGGGAGAGGACTCCAGAACTTGTAGTTCATTTGCTTTCATTAGATCAAAGTCAGTTTTTAGCATTGCCTAGAAAAGTCCTTGGAAAACATCTCCGCAATGTAGTAGGACAATACATTGCAGAACAGCTTTATAGTGGTAAAACTAAAATTTTTCTGTTAAATACTAGAGTTAAGACCATCTTGCTTGTAAGGTGTGTTTTTGTGATATAAGAAAATCAAGTGGTAGTATTACAATATTTTTAATGTATTTTGGTAAATGTTTAGTTTTCCCAGAGTACAATTCTTTGGAGAAATGGTTTCGTGCTTCAATGCCAAAATCAAGTTTATGGGGAATGGACGCCATGATTTGTCATTTTGGCATCACGAATTCGTATTTTTTCAGTTTAGCTCTACCTTCTCAATTTTGTTAAAAGTTGTCGAAGACTTGTAAGGCAGAGTGAGATGACACATTTAACTGCCTATGTTTTTTAGGAGTTGACAGTACGTCCATCCTGCACTCACCTAGAGCAGCAATTTAAAACTTAGCCAAGTTTAAACACGAAACCCGATTCCACCAAGCTTAAAAAACAAAATCTATTTAAGTAGATTGGTGGAAGGAGATGGAAACAAGTTGTTTGATCTGTCATTGCAAGTTAATTTTATAGCCCAAAAGATAATTTAATTATATGCTTTAAATGTAATTTCTGTGAGATCCACTCCTAGTTCTTCTATTCTGGCCAGTCTTCAATTTCTGTAAATTTCTCAACCTTTTCATTCCCAGCCCTTGTCTGCTTTGTATTTATTATGCAGTCTCATCCTCTATTGTTTCATTTACTTTAAATGAAAACTTGGACCAGCCAAATGGTAACCTTTGATATACCAATGATGTCTAACCAAGATGCTTCAAAAATTTCTTCCACCAGTTCAGTTAACCTCTCTATTGCCTATAAGGATAAAATTGCCTCAAGGTACCATACCACATAACCAAAATGGAACTCCCTCTTTGATCCCGAACCTGGTGCTTATCCATCATTCTGTCATTTATTTAAACAAGTTTAAGTCAGAATCCTAGCAAATTTTCACAACCCACTTTCTCATTCTCCATGTCCAACCTTTAAATTAGCTCTTGCTTTAATTTTAAATATCCTCTACTTCTAAATTATCTATTCACCCCTATTGCTACTACCCTGATCTAAGCTCACATTCATAAGACTCGGTTTCCAAATCCTTTGTTGTGCAATCAGACCTCCTTTGATAAATAGTCCTTTGTCTTAACCAAAATGAAAATTTGTGGTCAGAAACACCACCAATTTAAAATGTTGAAATATGACAAGCGATTTTGGAGGCGGAGAGCGAGTCCCTAATGTGGTCTGTGAGTACTGGCCTAATGCTGCAGCCTGGTGTTGCTCCACTCTGCCTTTTCATTCCACCTGGAATGCCCTTAATTCCATCCTTCATACCACCAACCTTGCCCTCTTAACACCTCATAACCTCAATTCCTCAGTTCACTGACTCCCACAGATGTCAATTTGTTACATATATCCATAACTTCTTGTGTTTTTATTTCACATTTCTTAATGTGTTAGATACCCATCAACATCCAACTCAACCCAATGGCGAGACATTTATGGTTATTGTTTTTTTGCTAGACTGTAGGCTCCATGAGAGCAGGAACTTCACTTTGCTCACTCTTACATCCTCGGGTCTTAGGAACTGCCTGGCACATCGAACGTGGTAAATGTTATTGAATGAATGAATGAGAGAAACCACCGAAAGCTGCAACAGACAAATCTAAAATAGTTTAATCATCTAGCTAGTTTTTCGTAGCCCTAGACGCATAGCAGGGACAACCTATGTGGTTTTGATACTCTGATTCATTCGAGCTTCAAGTTTAAAGAGGATCAATCCCAGTGTGCAATGCAAACAATGAGTTAACAGTCGCTTAGAAACCACATGTCCCAGCATGCCGTGCTCCGGAACAATCTCGGAAGTGGGTATGAGGCGTCATTGCATTCTGGGAGTTGTAGTCTGACCTGCCCCTTGTGCAGCTTCCGTGGCCTACGTTTGGAAAAAACCCTACTGGGTGGCTTAGCGCCCTAGAGAGCGGCGCGGCCCTACAACCTTCGCCCCCGGCCCAGTGGCCCGCTCCGCCTCTACGCGACTCTTCCCATATCCCAAAATGGCGGCGGAGGTGGATTTTGGCGACTTGGAGCTGTTCGAGGCGTTTGACCACCCAGAGGAGTCGCTTCCGAAGCCCGTTCATACCCGCTTCAAGGACGACGACGGCGACGAGGAGGAGAATGGGGTTGGCGACGCGGAGCTGCGGGAGCGGCTTCGGCAGTGCGAGGAAACCATCGAGCGGCTCCGCGCCGAGAATATCCTTCCCGCCCGCTGGGCCCTGTCACCCGGGCGTGTGGTGGGTGCCGTGCCCGGGAGGGCGCGGGCGGAAATTCCACGAGGGCCAGAATTCGAAGTAGTTTCTCTCGCCCCACAGGCCGGCTGGGAATCGGGGTTAGGCTTGCGTAAGCCGACCCCGGGGCCTCGCGCAAACCTCTTCAGGGATCCGTATTCTGGACTGAGTCCGCACCTCCCGCCACCAGTCGGGGGCCGGTTTTTGGGTTATTTCAGACTGTTTCAACAGTCAGATTGTAGACTGGTCACCAGTTCTCTCCCCCTCTTTGGAGTCGTTATCCGATTTCCGTTTTTGCAGCCAAGCTGAACTTGGTGCACTCCTGTTGAAGTTGTGTTTTAGAAGATACCGGATACTTAGACTCAGGCGCAGATCTGTCTTTTAGAGCGGGGCAAAAGTTGGTGGTCCTAGGATGTACAGTTTGGAGCCTTTAGGATTCGAGGGATGCTAAAAGAAATGGTTAATTACTCGATTAAGAGTGGGGGTTTCATTTTAAAGTTCTTCCACTTTGAAATAGCTTCCGAGGTGAAGGTGCATTGCAAAGCTTTAGGAAAAACGCGCCAAATAAGTTTCTATTTGGCTTGAGTTCCATGATTAGAGCCTTTCTAGCAAGACATTTTAGTATGTTTAATTTGCATTCTTAGAGGGTTTTTTTTTTATTATTATATATATACAGATAATTTTAGTTCTGGTAGTTTTTCTTTTAAAATTTGTAAAGACTCCTGAAATTAATTGTCAAATTACCTTTCAAGGTTTTCGAAGTCTGATATTTTTTACTTGATATTTTATCATGAAAAATTTTAAAATACAGAAAAGTTGGAAGGATTGTAAAGTGAACATTCATAGATTCCATTCTAGATTCTTCCATTGTTAACAGTTATACTGCATTTACTTTATCTCACTATGATGCTTTGACTTGGAAAATTTTTTAAATGAATGGTTGTTTAACTTTTGACACCCATTGTTTGCTTAATGTTTTTGCGTGACCGTATCTTAGAAATATCTGTGTCGAAAGGGATGACAACTCTATTTTAATTTTTAGGTCTAAATGCCTAGCCCTGCAGCAAAATAGGAACTTGGAACGTATCACCTTCAGAATATTTGTGTCTTAACACTTATAACGTTCTGATACCCTTTTGGCATCAGAGTAGGTTAGTCTAATTTTATGATCTTCATTATTCTGTTTAATGAAGGCTTATCCTCTTTAACAAGTAATAACATCAAGAACTTAAAAGAAAATTGAACATCCTGACTCGACCAAGGTATGAGATCTTGAACTTACACCATAGTTGCCCTTTATTTTTTATCTATGTATTAATATTTAGTTTCTTTGTTAAAAGGGTGTTTAGAGTTTTCATATCATTTTTATTCAGCATACTCTGAAGAAATCAGAGTAATGATCTTTTATTTTTAACTTGGGGTAAAATTCGAATTCTCATAACTGCATTAAACTGACTTATTGGGTGAAAATATTTGTGAAACACAATCTAGAAAATTTTGACTTAATATTCAGACAGGCAAAGTGTCAACATAGCTGTTCCTATTCAACAAACATTTCCGGGAAGTTAGAATTAAGATGACAGTATTAACCCAGCTGAAGCTTTATTTACCCAATTAAAGTATGTTCATAAATAGAAATAATGCAAGTTACAGCATTTTAGAAGAGAAAGTAGTTGCTTTGGGAAAGAATACAGTGAGTGCATTCAGACACCTGATTTTTGGAAGGTTAAATGCAGTTAACATAAATTTAACAGGTCACTAAATCTAAAATATTGGTCAAAAGTACAAATTTATTATGTGGGGCGGTATTTTCAGGCTTTCAGAATTTGGAGCTGCCATGATGCACTTTCATGGGGACTTTTTTTTGTACCTGGTACTGGCTGGAGTAATTGACTATATTGGCGACTAAAGGTTTAGAATTTAGACGTGATTTTGGAGTAACTTCCCTGTGCCCTCTCTTCCTTCCTCTATGTGAGCACACTTTGTAGATCTAAACTCATTTTTGATTAGTTATTAAGTGTATTGCATATAACTAGGATTCCTCAAAAATCATAATTTTTATATACCTAAAGGTTTTATTTCGATAAGCATGCTTTCCAATAGAGTTGATTATTTAAACATTAAATATTTATCTACACGTGGGTTATAATCACCTGAATTTAAATGATTATAGCATCGTAGGCTTTGCCAGTTTATAAAAATAAGCATTAGTATCATGAAAAAGGAATAACTTTTTTTTAGAATTAGTGCCATGCATATTGTCAGATTGATAAAGCATTCTACGGAAAACCAAGGAAGAAAAAGAACTAAAATTATTTAGATAAAATTTGTACCTTAAGTCTCTTGGTTTAATCCTTACTTTGACACCATTGTGATCAGAAGTTTCTTTTTATCCAATAAAATGTTAGATTTTTTACTTTGTATTATGAAAATTTTCAAAAAACATGGAACAATCAGTATAATTAATACTCATTTTTTATCACTTCGATTTAACAGTATTTAGCCATATTTCTTTCTAATCACATATACATTTTACCCCACATATTTAAGTGTATCTTTTTTAAAAAATACTTTTACGTGCATAACCACACCACCGTTGTCACATCTAATAATTGGCATAATTTCCTTAATAACATTCCCAGCCCCATCCACATTCAAATTTTTCCACCTGAATGTCTTTGTAGCTGTTTGCTCACACTGGACCCCAGCCAAGGACCATGCAGTTGCATGAGGTTTTTAAAAACCTAATGTACTTTTAAAAACTGAAGTTTGCTCAAATTGAAACAAGTCTCTGAACTATTTTGCATTTTTTATTTCTCTACTTGATGAGAACAATTCCAAAGACAGACTCGATGTGTTTCATATGCTGTATAAGTAGAGGAATGCGAGGCAGGTGAGGAGGAAGCAGATTCAGCTGGTCCCAGGTTACTGATGGGGTATACTGCAGGTGTCCAGGCTGCATTCCAGCTCTTTTTTTTTTTTTTCTTTCGGTATTTCAAAGTCAAATCCAGGAATAGTACACTTTTTACATCTCTACTTTAGAATTTTGGATTTGGGATATTTAGTGCAATGTGCTCTGTCCTCCAAAAAAAGAGCCTAATCATTTATTTGTAAAATGTTTCATTTTCCTATATAGTTCCAAGCCAGGCTCACTGTGATTCTTTAAAAATATATTCTTGTAACCTGCTGGTTTACTCAACACCTCGCTCCCCCACCCCCATCCCCAACTTGTAAAGAAGCAACCATTAGGTAAAGAAACTTTGGGGTTGAAAACTGAAAGATTAACCGTAGTTTTTAATTTTTTATGAAATATTTTGAAAAATATGTAAGGGATACCTCTGTAAAACTGTTAAAGTAGGTAAAAGTCACGAAACTTAGATTTTTCTTAAACTGGAGTTCTTGGTGGTTCTCGATTTTATCTGTAAAATGTATGATCTTTGGTACTTAAGAATTGTATAGGTTATATGTTTATATATATGCAAGCTTTAACTCCTCTAAGAATGTGTTTTAACTTCTGTTTTAGTGGGATATTGGTGAACAACAATAAGTTAGATGGACCTTTATTACAGATTCTATTTATGAACAATGTTATTTCAAAGTAAGTCATTTTCTCTTTTCTAAATATAATGAGTTCATGTGTTTATAAAGCAGTGCCTTCTATAAGTATGCTGTTTCCATTTGTACTTACACAGTATTCTTTTACTCAAAATTTATGGAATCCTGATTAAGAACAAGGATATTAGAGTCTTGTAAACTTGAATTTGAATCTAGTCTCCTATTTTCTACGTATGTGAGCCGGACAGGTTACTGACCCCTCTCTGTATACCAGTCTCTACACTGGAAAACAGGATTCTAATAGTAGCCACCTTGTAAGTAGCTGAGTGAGCACCTGTCAGAGGTGCTCATTTTATTAGTAAATAGCCTCTAATAAAACAAAACAAAACAAAAAATACTACCACCACAACAATAAAAAATATTAGTTACTCCAACCCCCAGGTTAGGTAACTGAGTGTTTCCTCTTGGCTGTCTTCAAAGCTTCCCCACATGATATTTTTTTTAAATATTAAAACGACCTTTGCCAAAAGCCTTCCAGCATCTTGGGTCTAGTGAGACAGTACATTCCTGCAGTGCTTGCTGGAGGGTCTGAAATGGTTCGAGGCGGTGCCTTGGTTGGCCCTTTTTCAGAGCCTGGTCATGGACATTTCAGATAGTTCCTTCCTCCTCCCACATCACTGAATCAATCATTACTTCATGTGCTGGGCAAGGTAAAGACAGTAAAGGGAACACACACACACAGCGTGACCTGTGGGGCAGGCCCATTGCCGTCTTCGTCTCAGCAAAAGCGGAACCTGAACTCTGATGGGTGGGAGAGCTGGATGGTGATCTTGCAGCAGCAAGGTGCTGGGCACGACGAGGTTCTGGCACTGTTGTCACCATCCATTAGAACCGGCGTCTACTCTAGCTCATGGCAGTCTTAACTTCTGCACTTGGTTTCACCTGCAGAAATCTTAAAATGTCCCAGCTAAAGAGACCTGACAGATCACCTGGTCTGCGAAGAGGGCGTTGGCCGCCCAACCGCAGCCTAACCTGGGCCCCTTTGGCACCTCCTGACCTGAGCACCAAAGAATATTCAGTGAATGTGGTTCTTGCCCCAAAAAGCTGGAGAAAGTAGACCTCAGTTGTTTTTCTTGCATTGCATTTCGATTTTATTTTTCCAGTTTAATATTTATATAGATATTTCCGTGTATGTGTATAGAGCTCTCTGAGAGGAGGATGTGGGAGAACAATGCACATTGGCTGTCTTTGTGTGGCAGAAATAGGTGGCTCGCAGACAGAGTAGGAAGGAGGAGGCTTTTCATGATGTAACCCTGTGACTTCTTTTGGATTTTGAACCACTTACAAGTATTATATATTCAAAAGTTAAATCCATAAAAATGTATAAATAAAATCCACTTATTCATAGGGTAGGTATTTGCCAACTGTTTTATGCCAGCCACTGTGTTAGGTTATCATAATCATTTTGTTAACTTGGCAACAATGTGGTTTTTTCTAAGGAATAGATTCCTGAGTGTTACAAATAGTTAGTGATTTGATAAACCTCTGAAAAACAAAATAACAAAAGTTACACATGACATAATAATGCGTACAACTTCAGTCTGTTCAATGTCTTACTCTGTCTGGGTTCTGACCATTTTGTCCTCTTATGCAGGCATTATCATCAAGAAATAGAGGAATTTGTATCAAATTTAGTAAAAAGATTTGAGGAACAGCAGAAAAATGATGTGGAAAAGACTTCTTTTAATCTATTGCCCCAGGTATTTCAAACTTAACAGACTTTAAGATTAGTAGGTTATGCTTTTCACTGCTAATTATTAGGCCTTCGGGGGTCCTCTTGAATCAAAACCAAAATGATTAAGATCTTCTGTTCCCCTCCCATCCTGCCCAGTGCTGCCGTGGGGCTTGCTTTTGGATTGTGGCTCCTTTTCTCAGGGGAGTCATATTTTGACCTGGCTACACTCAAAGTTGAAGGCTTTTTCCTCCTTTTTCCCTACTTGGAGACAGGGTTTGGGGCGGAAAATAAATTTTAGGGGAAAACAAAAACTACCTCAGGGATTTATAAAAGATAGAATTTTTATATCTAAAACCAACAGTTTCATGCACTATCCTTTATTTCCTCTCTGCTTGTTTTTAAAAAAAATAGTGTGCCCAAAGAAATCTGAGAAGTTTCACTATGTGAATATTAGAACATGGATTCATGTTTTAAAAATCAGAGTTATGTTTTCTGGGCTTTTTTAAATTAAAAATGAAGGTAAGTAGAATCTCTCAGATAAAGATCTTCACCTATTTATCCCCTGAGGTTGGAGAACAGTATTCTGATTAATTGAATTTTTTATCACCTTTAATTTTCACCTATCACATTACAAATTTTTAAAGATTCAGGAAATGGAAGATACATTTAACAATAAAAACCTTACTAAATATTAAATTTTTGATTCAAGGTACACTTAAGAATTTTTTAGTGGTTTGAAGCCTGTGAAGGTTATATTATAAGTATTGACCAGTAATGTTATATATTTTTAATCTTTCTAGTTATCTGATTTCAAGATAAACTGAGGTCTGCCTTGCCAGTTTAAGTGTTGAAAGTTTCATTATTAATATTCATTAACACTAAAGTCATCGTGTATGCTAATGCTTCAGAAGATGTTTTTATATCTTTTTAAATTTTTAAACTTTCCCACTCTTGAAATTTCTTTCATAAACATTCCTACTTAGCTTAAGTCACCCTAATTATGACAGCAATGAATTCAAAATTTTACATACTATAACTAGTATGTATTAGAAAATAAAGTGAGTGTATTCAGATTGCTGATGTCTGAATTTTAACAAGAATTGGTTACCTTCGTAATGTGTTTTTCTTTGTATTAGCCATCCAGTGTTACGCTAGAAGAGGACCATAAAGTAGAAGAATCCTGTGCCATTAAAAACAACAAGGAAGCTTTTAGTGTAAGTTTGGACATTTTAGCTTTAGAATTCTGCAGATACCTGTTTCCTATCCTATGTCAATTGGGCAGCGTTTAAACGATACCGTGGAATAGTTATATGATATCAAATGATCACACATTCTTTTATTACATTTGTTATAAACAACAATGTAGACTCTACATATTATAGTTGGCTTTTTAATAACGATTTTATTGTGACCTGAGGCACAATAGACATTGTCTAGAGGACTTTATTTTTGTCCTGACTGACCTCTTTGTATTTATTTTCAAGAACCTTGGTGAAGATATAGAAAGCATACTTGTTGAATTTATAGATGTTTGAAGCTGAGAAGGATAAATAGTTAATATAACAAATGGCAGATAGGAAATATAAAATGTTGCCAGACTCAAATAATAGATGAAAAATAGAAGTTTAACGGGAATGAACCTACATTAAGCCTTTCAGTACTTATGCAAAATTCAGCAATGTCAAAAATGTCAATGCAACCTAGTTGTGTAATTTTGCAACTTATAATTTTCTGAAGGTGATGTAATTCTGGATTCTATTAAAGGAAAAGTCGTTTTCATGTGTATGGAGTGTTGTGCTCCACTGTGATATACCACAATTTTAAAGAGGGAGCTGCGGGGATGATGAGCTCACAGATCTTGTTGAAAAGATTTACAAGGCATGTCACATCTCTGCTAATGTGATTAGGGGCTGTTATTTACAAAGGTATCATTTTAGATCACTCTGTATAGTACCTAGGGGCAGAACTAGGGCCAGTGATTGGATTGAATACAAAGAGGCACATTTCAACTCCACTTTTTGAAAGCGGGAATTGCTGTCAGAGATGTGAAAAATGAAATAAATGGTACCTCTCATGTTTTTAAAAAGCTAATTCCATGTTACTGCAGTCAAATAAAGACAGATTGCATCAAGCACTTTAAAGAAGGATTTCTGAATTTGAACTAGATCACTTCGCATTTCCCTTCTAACCTGAGGTTCTGGGATTTAAAGTGGCACCCGCTTGGAAACTGGGAATTTTGCATAATTGTTAATTTTGTTCTTTAATAAAGACTAATAAATATTAAATGCTCTGTTCTACCAGAGACGATTCTAGTCTAAGACAGCTTAGACTAAGGTGATAACAGTGGTGATGATTCTAGGTTCCAGGGACATAGCAATGAAGAAGGAAAAAGGCAAAGTCCTTATTCTCATTGCATTACATTCTAGTGGGGAAGGCAGTGCTCTGAAGAAAAATAAAGCAGGGGAAGAGTTAGAGAGTAAACGCGGGGCAGTTGGTTTGTTGAGTGAGCACTTCGTGACAGCCTCTCTGAGCCAGGACCTGGGGGAATTGAGGGAGTGAGCCCTACTGCAGTGCGCGTGAAGATACGCCAGGCAGTGGGGGAAAGTGGAAAGACATAGGCGAAAGCGAAAGCAAACGTGTTGCTAAACAGCCAGTACTGTTCTAAGCTTGTTACAAATATTACTTATGAATCTCATGTTACAGATGAGGAAATAGACATGAAAGTTACGTAACTTGCCAGGTGTCCCTTAGCAAGTGGCAAAGCCAGGATTTGAATCTGCCTTCTGACTCCAGAGCGTATGATTTGAATCCTTATGTTGCCTTATAGACAATAGTGTGGACTTTGGATTTTACTCTGAGATGAGAGCCATTGGATGGTTTTAGGCAGAAATGTGACATGTTATGACCTGGTTTTTTAAAGAACTGGCTCTATAGAACAAAGAGTCTGTAGCCAGTTGCATATGGAAGCTGGAAACCAGTTAGGATTTATGTATTCCTCTCTGGTGAGAGAAAGTGACAGCTTAGACTAAGGTGATAACAGTGGCGATGAGAAGTGGTCAGAACCCAGATGTACTCTGAAAGTAGAACTGATCAAATGTGTTGATGAACTGGATACAGAATAGGAGCATGAGAGAGTCGTCAGAGTGACTCAGGGTTTTGGCCTGAGCACCTGGAACTGAGTCGCTGCCTTTTGTGTGATGGGGAAGATGGAGGGAGGGGCAGGCTCACAGGGGAAGGGACCCAGTGCAGTTTGAAGTAGGGCAGTGGAGGCTCTGCATGTTCAGGGACAGCTGTCAGGTTGGCGCTTCATGTACAAGGTTGAAGTGGAGGTGCGGTCAGAAGTGGGCATTGGGGGTTGTCAGCGTGTGACTTATACTCTATGCTGTGGGTCTAGAATCAACTAGCGAGTGAAAGAGGAGGACTAAGGGCTGAGCCTTAGGAAGATGGAGAGTAGAGGAGGATCTAACAAAGAAGACAGAAGGACCGGTCAGCAAGGTAGGAAGAAAACCAAGAAAATGCTGTCGTGGAAGCTAAAAGAAGATGATTCTAGAAGAAGGAGGAATCAGGTGCGTCAGTTGTTGCTGATAGGTTAAGATGAAGATAGGGAACTGTCCATTGCATTTGGCTGCATAGAAGTCACTGGGAAGCTCCATTGTCAAATACCTTAGTGCAGCGTTAGGAACAGAAAGAGGCCTCACTAGAGATGTTCAGGAGAGAATGACTATTGTTTTAATAAAAATGGGTGGGGCCCTGCTAGATTAAAGGAGACTAAAAAGACTTAACATTTTGGGGACAGTTGCAGAAAACTGAATATAGAGTCGATATAGGTGATATTAAGGCGTTATTAATTTCCTCAGGTGTTACAGTGGGATTGTGGTTTGTAGGAGAATGTTCTTAGAAGGCTCATACTGAAGTATTTAGGGTGAAGTATCGTGAAAATTGCCTGTAGCTGGTTTTGTGTGGAAGCTGGAAAACCAGTAGGAAGTCATCTCAGCAAGAGAAAATACTGGCTTAGACTGTGACAATAGTGCTGGTGACTGACTTTGTTTAAATGACTCTGTACAAAGTAAGCGTGTGTGTGTGCGTGTGCGTGTGCGTGTGTGCGCGTGTGTGCGCGCGCGCAGACAGATGCGCATACAAAAATGTCCATTAACAAATCTCAAATCTAGATAGCGGGTACGTGGGTGTTCATGGTACCATTTCTTCAACTTTTCTGTATGAAAATTTTCCCCAAAAATAGGAGGTAAAAGACAAGACTGAGAGGGAAGGAAATGGAAACAATAAATATAGACAACTTTTCTGAGGATCTTGCTGCAAAGGAGGCAGAAATGGGGAATTAGAGGGAAATGTGAGTCGCTGGCAAGTTTTTAAGTCTGAAGAGGGTGCAGCGGATAGTGATCCAAAGAGAGGAAAAACTCAGTGATCTAAGAGGCATAGGGGAATTTAAAGATGTAGCTTTTACTTACACATCAAAATCTGGCTCCTTTAACTAAGGAGGTGATTATTCTAATAATTTCATCCAAAAGTAAATTGTAAAAACAATTACTCATAGTCTTACATTATTTACTGTCTTTTTTTTCTGCTTAAATAGCAATATTTTTTGACTTGTTTTCTGCAGGTTGTAGGAAGTGTCCTGTATTTTACTAATTTTTGCCTTGATAAATTGGGGCAACCGCTACTAAATGAAAATCCTCAGCTTACCGAAGGATGGGAAATACCCAAGTATCCTACATAGTGAATGAAGATCTCTTACGCATCTTGCCATTAAGTTCACCTTTAAAAACATTTTAAAGACTATGATAACTCATTTTGCAGACTATGATAACTATTCCTTAATAAAATTCACTAAAGGTACCAGCAAGTCTTCAGCCACATTGTTTCTCTAGAAGGGCAAGAAATACAAGTAAAGGCAAAAAGGTTTGTGTGGGGAGCTGTTTTTGTTTTCTTCTTCTTCTTTTTTTAACCAAACCATAAACTTTTAGCTTGAAAAATTAATATTCTTTATTGCTGGCTCACTATTAATTACAGATTAAGCTATAATTTCAATATGTAGATACATGCTAATGTTTAAATTGATCACGTGTTTATTGGAATTCATTGGTTCATGCCCGATGTGCCTGGGTGGGTGGAGAGGTTTAATTGTTGCTGTCAGTTCGATTGCTATCCCGAAACCATCTGCCCCTTTCCCTGTTGCCTGGAAGTGGGATCTGTTTGCCTCTGTTCTTGTTACTAACCACTGATGAAACTCGGAGGTAACAGGTCAGTCAGGAGCTTAGGGTTCTTGTTTAAAAGACTTGGTTAAAAGTACTGTTTGTTTAAATCACTAAGTACAGGAGGCGAAAGTGTAGCCATGGCAGATCTTAGTAATCTGTGATGTACGCACTTTCTTCTCTCTGATATACTTTGCTGTCAGAATTTTATTGATTTGCTTTTATATTTTCATTTACATTATGAAAATCTTTGTTTTTTGACCAAATAGGCCAAAGCCTCACTGTTTCAATTGTGGTTCTGAAGAACATCAAATGAAAGATTGCCCAATGGTAAATGTTTATCATATAAAAAATATCTTTGAACCAGAGCTATCTAATGTTTTCAGTGTATTTATGGCATTGTGTGATGTGAAGAAACTTACTGTGTTACTTTCCCGTAGTCATTGAATTTGAAATCTTTTCAAATTTGTACTTAAATTTTAAGGCATTAGATTTTTTAAAAAATTTACTACAGTGCTCTGTATTTGAGATGAATGAAACATTAGGAGAGTGGATTTTTAGACAGCTTATTCTGAAACTTGATTTTATGTTATAATAATACTGAGATAATAAGAAATTAGAGTGACTGCTTTTCTTCCTTGCTTATTTTTCCAAAATATCCACCCTCTTTTATACTTATTCCTTATACATTAAAACTGAAAGACTCAGTTTGCTTGACGTAAACAAAGTACTCATATTTATTTAATTTCTGAAGTATTTCTAAAGTGCTTGATACCATTCTTTTCAAATGCACTGCGATTTAGCCTCGGAATGCTGCTCGAATAAGTGAAAAGAGAAAAGAGTACATGGACGCCTGCGGTGAGACAGTCAATCAGAGTTTCCAGCAGCGATACCATGCAGAAGAAGTGGAAGAAAGATTTGGAAGATTCAAGCCAGGAGTCATCAGGTGGTACCTCTTGTCAGTTTTTCATAGAATGTCATTTGTATTTCCCCAGTATTTGGAACATTCTGTGTATCTTCAGGATAATTAATTATCAGCACATAAGTTTTCTCTAGCAAAGTTCTAAATATACATCAGTTCACTTGAAAATAGTCATGGAAATTTAACTCTGTATTTGATAGGCACCATGCCACATGCCGTGTTAACATAAGACAGAATTGCTTTAAAACAATCGGAACAGTGTGTGTTTCCATCCAAACAAGAATACAGTATTTTTTCTTTCTGTTTTGACTTAGCGAGGAACTTCAGGATGCACTGGGTGTGACGGACAAGAGCCTTCCACCTTTTATATATCGAATGCGCCAGCTAGGATACCCACCGGGATGGCTCAAAGAGGCCGAACTGGAGAATTCGGGGCTCGCGCTCTACGATGGAAAAGGTATAGTAGATTGGGTTAGATAACTCAACATACGTATGATCTTTTTTTT